CTCTTATCAACATAGTTACTGACACTAATTTTGGTGTAGCCTTTTCGTGTTGAAGTGTTGTAGTTAGGTAGGTATAGCGTTTTAAAGCTTTGTAAGTAATTTGATTTAAAGAAAACAATTTCGATATAAACAGGCATCAATAATTATTTGATTTATCGTTAAGGTATTTTATTTATTTAGAATATAAATCAACAATAATATGTTAACGATTAATGAATTTGATTAATTCATTCGTAATCATAAAAAGCATCCAAGCCAAATCTTTAGTTAAAAAAAACGATTTTTGTTAAATAAATCGCTTTTAAAATTAAATTCAGGCGAATTTAATTTTAAAAGTGATTTAATTAAATCACCTTTTTATCTTCATTGTATTTTTTGTCTGCTGTTCTTAAAAAAGTCACATTGGATAATTCGGGTATTTTTTAAGTTCTTGACCTGCGTCCGTAATTTAGCTGATGGCAATCCTAGCTCTTAATAGAATGTGGTGCAATTACTTAGAATAAGAAATAAAGGATTTTGTGAGAATTATAGGGTGTCCTTAACTGTTTATAATATCTATAACCGGCCCTGGCCTAGGTTGCTTAACTTCCGCATCGCTGGCCAAATGCGTTAGCCACAAAGGATCGAAACAAATCGAAAAAGGTGTTCTGTAAATGAACTTTTTTAATTGCTTAAGATATAAAATAAAATGGGCATCGTTAATTAACAAAATACATAAACCCAATGTATTTGTTGTAATTTGAAAACGATAACACATGCAATAAATATAATAATAATCGTTATATTAATGAATTCGTACGAAAAAAGGTTTCATTTAAATTTAAATATACACGTTTGATCCTTATTCTATTTGCGAACTCTTTTGAGTATACACGATGTGCGACTATGATAGTTTGCCAAAAGCGAGATGAAAATAATTAATTTAAATCTTTATTTATTTCTGTAATCTATAGTTATATAATCTCTATTCTATCTTTGTATGTGTGTCTATTAGGTTCAATCAACAATACATCAGACTATACCAATCTGTCAAATTACCCCACTAGATTTTAAACTTTAATTTATTGGGAATAGAGGTCAAAATCCATTGCAGAAATTTGAAATATCGTAGTAACCTGATGTTTAGCTGTGTAAACAATTTTTCTGTATATTTTTAAATTGTAAAACTAGCCAGTTGGTTTGATTGAATGAAACTTTCGAATATAATATATTTACTACACTCAAAAAGTAAATTTAAATTCAGAGAGTTCATTGAAACTTACCTAATAAGTTCTTATATTCCTCTTGGATTTAAGAAATAGTAATCATTATTTTAACTACACGTATTCCCAAAACTTTGTGTTACTATATTTTTAACTAACTCCTTGCCTATAAATAAAATGATATACCTTTCCGATATTGCTTACTTGTTAAGAAACTACTAGTTGTCGTTTTCCGAACTTTTCGAGATTTTGTCGGACTCGCAAAAAGTTCCTAACGAGTGTCTTAATTCTGAAACTTGCCCAGTTCTTGGACCGGTGCATATAAAGTTTTGTTACGATTAGTATTCTGACTAGTCCATTTTTCTACCGCCGTTAAGCTTATGTTAGTATTTAATATGATTTGTTCTGAATTATTGACTGTTTATATTAAAGTGATATCTTCACTTTTACCAACTTCAAAATCGAAAAGGAGGAGGTTATATGTTTGACACTTATAATTTCTGTCAAACTAGCTGTTTCCCCGCGACTTCGCCTGCGTAATTTATAGCCTATGTCCGCCGCTTATTATGTAACTTCCCGTAGATGAAAAACTCATAAATGGGTTCATAAATAGTTTAGTGATCTATCCAAAACAACAAGCAATCAAAGCTTTCCTCTTTAAAATATGCATATAGATTATTGGAAAAAAATATGACGAGCAAATAAACAAAATCTCCTATTCTAAGACTTTATAGCATATTTTTATTTACATAGATATTTAATATATTTAGTGTTACCTATTACATAAAAGATATCAATATCACGAAAAAGCATTAAATGAAAACATTTTATAAAAAGTGGATCGAGTTCAAACTTTAAAAAAGTGATAAATAATACTTATCTCAAAAGTAACTTATTCAAGGAAATGCTATTGAAATCGGGCGCCTATCATTTATTTAATAACCTACAGAAAATCTCCACCGGACTTCAATAGCATTTTCTTGAATAATTCGCTTTCGAAATAAGTATTATTTAAACTTTTTAAAAGTTTAAATACGGTTCTACTTTTAATAAATAGTCTTTTTGTTCCTTTAACATCGCATAGACAGCTTTATGACCTTAATGCTCCAAATAATCTGCCAGGCTACAGTCCTTGTGCTATGGAAGTCTGAATGAGCGAAGGTACCACAACACTAAGACCATAATAAAAGTCAAAAATCAAAAAAGTCAACTGTTTTTGAAACTGGTGCTTGAGCCAGCCGCGGAGCTTGTGATTTAAATTGAAGTCAAGCAGATATAGTAGAAGTTTTTTGTATTTTGCAAAATTTAATATCTCGATCTCCTCGGTGCTTTAGAAAGCACGTAAAACCGTTGGTCCCAGTTGTATTAGACGAGATAAGCACCCACCAATACGCACTAGGCCTGCATCATTATGGCCTATTCAGTTCCAACTATAGCACATTGAGCACATTAAAAGATTGATGATGACGACGATGATAAGGTGGATACAGACTTTATAGGTTTAGTTTAATTTTAAATCATAATATTATTATTAACCAATTTAAAAATACGTGTGCAAAATTTATAAATGTATGTGTATAAAAATTTTTGTCGACGTATTACTTGCAAACTAGACGACGGATTATAATGATTTCTTAATTAGCTTAGCTTTCAACTTAGGGAACACTATAAGTGTCATTAAAATCGATTCAGTACTTTTGAAGATATAAACTACTTAAATTTAAACGACTTATAAATGGAGTAAAAATTTTACAGACTTATAAAAAAATTAAACCAACTTAAAAACACTGAAAAGAGAGAAATAATACCACAAATTTTTTATCTCAAATAAAATTGATATGCAAGAAGTTTTTGCGCAAATTACGTTGTATATTACATTGTAACTGTAAACTTCGAAAATTAAAGTCACAATATACCAGTTTCTACATTTTCTTTTAAAGAAATTTTACCCTAAACGACAACTGTCTAAAGTGTCTAAAAGCCTTTCAATAAGAATTAACTTTTAACATCACAGGCTGTCGTCTTTCAGACAACTCGTTCTATTATTAGTTAACTACTCTACTCGAATAGACGTTAGAACCCTAGCGACAATATTTTAGCTATTTAAAAATAGTTCAGTTCACAAGAAAGATCAAACTTTTAAACTTTAGCAGTCTACAGAGAATATGTTCATTAATGTTTACAAAGTCACTGAACAGAACATGTTTGCGCGATGTTTTTCTTTTAAATTTTCACTCTTTTTTTTTAATCTGCAAGAAGTTTAAAGATTTCGTAGCAGTTAATTTTAAATAGAAGTTAATTTTAAACACTTACACAATGAACACAAGCCGAGATTAAGTCCAAACCTAAAAATTTTGCGTAATTATAAATGTAAAAATAAAGTAACTTTACGATATTCGCAAAAATCTTTAAACTTTAATTCTTTCAACTGAAAACAGATGTTTTCCGAGACACTCAGAAAAACGAAAGCTGTAACGCTTTAATTAACTAATTGAACTCCTTTATTTCTACCTCTGCGATCTGTTGCAATGCACTGTATTTGAAATCACACAGCTATTTTTTGGCGAGTTCCGATTGATGTGCATTACCCACTGCTGCACTGTTCTATTCCATTTCGAAAAAAAGTAATACGAGAAATCCACTACTACTAATCTATATATATAGAAAAGCGAAAAGTCACTCACTCACTCACTCATCACGAAATCTCAGAAACTAAAGTGCTAGGAGTTTCAAATTTTGCATGCGGGTTCTTTTTAGGACGTAAGTGCTCACTTAGACGGTATTTTACGAAATCCGACCCCTAAGGGGGTAAAGTAAAGGGATGAAAGTTTTTATGAAATTGTCTCATTTCTAGACTTAAAACTAGATCACGCGTGCGAAGCCGCTGGCTGAAGGCTAGTATTCATTATAGAGAACTACTAGATCTGTACTAAAAAATCTACTAGAGAACAGTTTCATAACGCCGCTTTTGTAGCACGAACTTGGTTCTTTAATAGTTTGTGAAAGATGCGTAGCTCGTGCTCACTTTCATAAATGTTGCATTGGTACGACATTGCAATAAGTAAACGTCGCTTTTGAACACAGCGTTATGCTTCATAAATACTAATAAGAATACACCATGTCTTACCTTTAAGTTTACAGCTTTACTTATATTGCGACGAAACCAGTTGAAGAACAGGTATTATATAGTTATAATGGTAAATGATAACAAAATTATATAAAATGGATCAAAACGCACTCTGACCAAAATTGATCGATTAAAACAGATCAACTATTTCTCTTTCTCAACGAAACAACTTATTTGGAAAATCTACCAAATAAGTTTGTTCTAGTCAACCCAGCTTCGTGGGTTATGACAATTTACAATATCGATAACCTACCTTAGATTTGTGTATACTTTAATTGCCTTATAAAATACAATTATTATCAATATCAACAACTTAAACATCAACACAAAACTAAACTGTACTCTCTGGAATTAACACAAGAACTGGCGAAAATCTGGCAAACTGATATTCGAAAAATGATATTTTACGTATGTGCCAATAATTTAAACATAGGAAATTAGAATAATCAAATGCGACGTGTAGAATCCTAGACATAATTCTAAATATACTTAGATAACCTTCTTTTAACGCAGATATATAACCTAGAATATTAAGGTGCAAAACGCAAGCAACGAGGTCGATTCTTAACAGTCGACTCAAACGTTTCTAGAAGATTTCTATTAACATTACTGCCTCACCGCAAATCTCATCAGCTACATAGTTCAGCAGTGACCCAGTTCCTCTGTTGCAGGGTGTGTGCCATGTTTCTGCCGGAGTTCGCAAGTTTCGTAGCGGCCATCTTGTTCGCAGTGCACCCCATACACACAGAAGCTGTAAGTATTCTTGTTTACTACTTGTCTTCTTGATTGCCACCGTTTGTGAACAACTTTACCCGCATTCTGCTTTTTCATCATTTAGGGTTACTAACCAAAATGTTTCATAATATTATACTATTGTTAAGTTTTTACTCTTGAACAAAAAATTAAGCCAATTAATCAATGACCGACCAATAAAAGCGTCCACCGAAGTCGCCTGAGCCCTGCACGCGGGCATTATCGACCAATGTAAATGATCCACAAAATAAATATGAATAGTATTCGCATAAATAAAACTCCAATTATATGCTGAATCAGACAAATTCGTTCATAAATTTAAGCTTGATTGAAAAGCACACAAACAAATCCAATTTTTGACACTTTGATTAACACAACATAATATTAAATAACAGAAATAAGTATTGAAATTGAATAAAGTTCGTTTCGGCGCATTTATATTCTCAGTAAAGTCGGATCTGTCATTTATCGATGTTTTTTCAGCCTGAATAAATTTATGTGGCTTAAAGCTGTATTTAAAAGCGACGATGCAGTCTGTCTGACACAATATATCGAACCTTTTTATCGGCACATATTTCAACCATGGATTACTACAGAGTTTTGTTCATGCAACCCGCAATTTCGTTGGCATAATTAACTAGATAATCATCCAATCCAAACAAAAACACATAGACACATCATAGAATAGCGAATTAGCACTTGTGTTAAGTAATCTTAAACACGAAGTTACCAAAACACCGAAATCTAAAACAATATAGAAAAGTTTATTTTCTATTATTCGTGTTATAATTTTATAACATATATATTATCTTCATATTATATAGAATCCTTTTGCCTGCTATTAAAAAGCAATACTATGACTAAAAAATATTGTATCGTTATGTACTATTCATCAGCTACTTTATTGACGATATCGCTGTTTGACACCTCAATAGCATTAACAAAATTCAGTTACTTAAACAAATTACACGAAAATAAAAATAATTCGATGTCTGTAAATCCTCCAGTAACATATTCACAGTGTCGCCATGATATATCGAAGTCGTTAGCTATCAAGAACAGTCCAGACTCTACATTAACTATGGGACACTGAAATAAATAAATGTACATACAAAAATAGGTACTTATATCAAAATGCGAAGTGTAATTTTGCATGAATTTAAATTTCAAACATAGTTAATGTACTTCATTTGTAACTGTTGAAAGCTCAGGTAATCTTAATATATCTGCTTTTAATATTCCAGATATGGATAGAGTATTTGAATAGAGTAGTTGCATTACATGGAAACAAATGTATTAAACATAAAAAATGTATTCATTTATTTTTATTTTGCTTTATTTTTCATGGTAGATCTACGGTTGTAAAAATGATCTTACAATATCTCGGATAACCAGTAAGCGTTAAAGTTAAATAACAAATTACGAGTTCACTCGGCAATTTAGTCCTACACATGGCAAAAGACACAAATTACATAACAGACACACGCAAACAGAATTACCCAATACATTTCTTAATTTGAGACAGTCGAATTGAAGTGAAATTGAATTTAGCGTAGTAGTAGTAGTAGAGTAGCTCGGTGGTGTAGTGGATAGGCGCCACGGCCCGCGATCGTTGTCGTTAAGCAACTTTCGCAAGGGTCGGTCACGGGATGGGTGACCGAAAAATTATTATCTCGAGCTACTTCGTGCTTCGGAAGACATGTTAAGCCGTTGGTCCCGGCTGAATTTGCAGTCGTTAATACCCTCCAATCCGCATTGGGACAGCGTGGAGGGTCATGGCCCATCCTCCTTAACCTATATAAGGAAGGCCTGAGTCCCTCACGCTCTTTTACGTCCCCGCTCTTTTACGTCTCTACTGCAGGGGTAGTAGGGACAGTTGAATCGAATTGAATCCAAACTATATGCATATAGTAGCTGTTCTCCCGTGACTTCGCTTTATTACAGCCTATGCCATCCGTTTATGATGTTGCTTCCCACAGGTGAATGAATTTTTAAGATCGATCCAGTAGTTTCGGAGCTTAATCAATGTATACAAATTATTTTAATTGTTATTATTACTAGCAGTTTTCCCGCGACTTTACCCTCATGTGTTATAGTCTATTGTCACTCGCGTAAGATGTAGTTTCCAGTAGACGAGAGGGGGGAGAGAATCAAGAGGCGTTCGGCCTTTTCGAAGGGGTTAGACTGATTGGTTTGCGGGCCAACTGGATGTTGCACGTACTCATCCTGTTTAGGGGATTTACTCAAACGTTCCTGAATCGTAACCCTCAACCAGCAGAGGAGTTACTCGCCTTGAGAGGGTTGACCGAAATAGGGTTAAACGGCGCGGGTAGTGGTCTTAAAGCTGTTCCTGTGCATTGCATTCATAGAGAAAGATATCGTTAAATACTTGTATACCCTGCTTTTTGATTAGCATCCTTATAGGGGTGGGTCCACACGGCCCCACATAATCCGCGGACCCTGCGTTGAGAGGAGCTGTGTGTCCGAATTCACGGTATTTAGTAAATAAACTCTATTGATTCCATATTTTGTATAAAAATACAAAACAAAATTGATTGATTATACGTGTCTCAGATATTCTATTCGTATGTCATTATGAAACTCGCTTCACTTATGCCACGAAACGTTATTACCAATTCACGTTTGAGCGGATGCGGCTTTCTGAAATGAATTCAGACACCTAAGTGAATTCTGATTCGGGTTTGGCTTTTTACAGAATCGCAGGACTGGTAGGCAGTAATGCATTTCCTAGTGTTAAAAAAATTGCTTCCCGTAGGCGCAAGTATTAAAAATGAGTCCAGTAGTCTCTGAACCTATTCAATGCAAATACAATCAAATCTTAGACTAATAAATAAATAAATCTTTCCTCTTCATAACATTTATCATCCTCATCAGCCCTTTTACGTGCCCACTGTAACGTGCCCACACGTGGTTAAGGAGGATGGGCCATGTCCCTCCACGCTGGCCCAATGCGGATTTGAGGGTATTAACGACTGCAAATGCAGCCGGGACAAACGGCTTAATGTGCCTTACGAAGTCCTGAGTAGCTCGAGATAATAACTTTTGGTCACCCATCTCGTGACCGACCCTTGCGAAAGTTGCTTAACAACAACGATCGCGGGTCGCGACGCTTATCCACTACGCCACCGAGCTGTATCATAACATGAGAATAGACATAACGCAGGTCGCTTTTATTTTCAAAAAATAAAAACCTTATATGGATTCAATTAATATCTCTCCTACGAGTAGAATGAGTGTCACAACGATTCAGTTTACAACGTCCACGTCAACTTTATCACTGAAGTGAGCGGCTTTATGTTCAGACTGTTGTAAACTTGATGATCTTTAAACTGGACCGTTTAAGTGTGTTTGCCAATTAGAAAAGTCCGTTTTTACACAGAGAACAATGTTGACCGTTTTATTTCAGTGTGGAAGCAATCGTAGCGAATGTTAAACGTAAAAACAGTTGCCAAATGCGAATTGCTAACTATGGAAAGTTTTTAGCATTTTGTATCTAAAAAGTATTATAGGGTATCTCTTTTGAATCATAGTTTTTTTCGATATCTCATTTTAAGTTGGATTGAAAATATATTTTTAAAATTGTGTACATGAATCTAGGAATATGATTTATTTTAGTTTAACAAAGATATTTCTTTCTGCAAATGAAAATAAATATTAAAAGTCGAGAAACTAAACCAAAATCAAAATAAAAAATATAAGAAACAAGTTATATGACCTTAACATAATTCTCGTTGCAGTTTTCTTCTTACATTACAAATGTAAAACAGAACGATCCTCCGGCTGCAATAAGAATTTCGTTTAGTTAAACCATAATTCAACTTTATGTGTTTAATGTATAACTGTATAATAACAGAATATAAACAAAACTATAACAGTAAATAAACGACAGTCTAGAATCGAATTTTCTGAACCATTTTGGATGAGACTTCTTTAAATCTATTTTGAAATTACTCAAAATTAAAGTATTTTATTTCAGTACATAAACAAAATTATGTTATACATAAGGTTTAAATATGCTTAGATAATAATAGAGCTGTTAGTAAATTAATAACACTACAACAGCGCTCATTGATAGTCAAAACTAATGAAACCACGACTATAGTTCCACTTTAAAAACGTACAAAATACATAATTGCTTGAGTTGTCATACCCTAACCGTGCAATCAATGTAACCGAAAATGCATGCATTGCAATACCGTAACAAAAGCGGCAAGTTCGCAATACGGGGTTTAGGGGTCATATTTTACCACTACCATCTACTATGACATGTTCGATGGGGATTAATGTGCGTTATTTTACAGGTGACCGGTGTTGTGGGCAGAGCCGAAATGCTTTCTTCGTTGTTCTTCCTTGGAGCGCTTCTGTTCTATGCCCGTGCTGCTAACAGACGTCGATATACAGGTAACTTATAAGAAAAAAAAACTGAACAACTTCGTAAAATTGAAAATCGTTCTCTTTAATTTTGTTAAAATCATATCCATGAAAATTATCTTCACATAAGATGCAGTGTCGGATCGAAAAATTATTTTCTTTCGAGTCATATTAGCGTTCTGAATATAGAAGAAAATTTCGTTTGCTAAAAACAGGGTAGGTCATCTGGATCTTACGCACTTCACTAATAAATGGTTCCCGTGGCTCAAAGTCCTAGGGTGCTGGACATTCTATATAATGCACAGAAATATTTTTATATTTAAATGCTAGATGGCGGCGTTTGCAGACTTAAGAACTGGATTTTGAGGTTTTTTCTAGGTTTTTCGTGCTTTTAAACAGTGTGAATGTTTAACAGTGGTTAAACATTGATTCGTGCTGCAACTGACGCATAAATAACTACGAGGCCATGTGACCCGTGTTATAGCTGAAATAACACTTTAATAATAATAAAAACACACCTTATTTCACATGTTAAATAAAATAATGTTATAGAAAATCACACGGTATAAGAATATGAATACCTTCTATATAGCAATAGCAATCTTATCTTGACAACAAATGGAGAAGAATTATAAAAAGGATAGAGAAAATACGATAACATAGTATTGGTTGCAATATTCAGAAGGATAAAAAATCCATATTTACATCTTTAATTAGAATAATTAATACAGCATTTATTAGTTAATGTTTATTACCAGCCCAATTGTAAAGCGATAACAAAATAATTTTCAAGTTAAATTTTGACATCAAAGCTAATTATTTATGAAGTTTATAGCAGTCGGTACCATTTTCCTAGAAGACTAGGTAACAAACAATTTAATGGCAGTTGATTAGATACTGTTTTCAACACGTATACAGAGTACATCATGCGCATTTTCTTGGAAGAATGTAATAAGGGAATATCAGTTGGGGGGCGCGTGATAAATAATCTCAGATACGCTGATGATACTACTTTTCTCGCACAGACTAGAGAATTTATGGCAGATCTTCTAGCCCACCTCGAAATCACTAGTCTCGAGTACGGCCTTGTCATCAACCGACACAAGACGAAAATCATGACAATAGACCGAGCTGAACAAATTGGTGCTAACTCAAGGAACATAGCTAGCTTTAAAGTTGTACAGAATTATGTGTACCGTGATTCTACAATCTCCAGTACAGCGGGATATGGTGACGAGATCAAACGATGGGGCGCGACCAGATCAGCCGTAGAACGGCTGAGTAAGACTTGATTTACCAAAAAGAAGAAAATCAGATTGATGAAAAGTCTTATCTTTCCAACCTACTTATACGGTGCTGTAACTTGGTCTCTGAGACTACAGGATCGCCGCAAAATCGACTATGATGTGGTGCTGGAGACGCCTCCTTAACATCCCATGCACAGCATTTCACAAGTTTCCATCCTCAAGGAACTTAGTATTAATTCGGCTTACGTCATTTACTCAGTTACAATTGAGAATATTTAAGTTCTTTGGACGCATCTCGAAAAATAAGAGTGCGGTGGAGAGACTTGTTATTCAGGGCAAAGTGGAAGGCGAGTTAGTGATCGGTCGCGATAAGCGCGACCGATCACTAACTCGCTGGATTAATCTGACAAAGGAAGCTACTGAGTCTACCATTGTCCAGTGTACTCCTGATTCTGTTAACTGGCAGAAATGAAGTTTTATCGTTTGGAGGGCTGCTCTCGGGAAAACCGATGACGACGATCTTAGGAACGTCTCTCCACGTTCCCTATCCTTATCAAGGCAATCACGACCACTTTGACAAGAGTACCTGACTAAATAGAAGAATACGAATAGATACTGTAGCACCTAATAGTCCGTTCGAATATACTTAAATAATAACTCCGAATAGTTAGTATTAATAAAAGTAGTAGTCAGTAAATTATTTTTATGTCTTCAAATTTTTCAGTCATTAGGAACCAATCGACAAATATATTTCTCGCCATGAACCACTCACTTGGTTTATTATACAGTACCTAAATGTAGATTAATAAAGAGTTTTTCTATTTCCCACTTCACGGAACTCTTGAAATGCTTCCAGGGATCACTGGTTAAGAACCAATGCTTTAGAGAGTGGACGTGATCTCTAAGTGTACATTGACTTCTGACGCAATTCTTAGCAAGACTTGTTCCGCTTGTGCAAACCAAGTGGTCATTTCATGTATATCTACCAATATGGAATTATTAAATCTCTCCATTGAAAAAATCCATCATAATTACTGAACATTTTCATTGCTTTCAATACGAATATGTAGCACACACTTTTTGTACAATATTTTCTATTCCAATAACACGACTTCCTATGTGAAATCGATACGGAAAATTGGCCAGTATTCAAATACTGGATGGTGCCTGTTAAAAGTTTACTGTCAATGAACCGAACGGACTTACAAATAGATTAATCTGGACGGGGCTATTCACTATTTCACGTTATATTTTTTTTTACTGTAGAGAGTTTTGGGAATTCCTGGTATAAAATCAAACCGATAGTTCTTTACCTACGTAGCAGCAAATTTTTATTTTGTGCACTAGATTGGAAATCCGTATTAAATTACAGCCATGCCATTTCATTCATTTAAAAAAAAAGTTGTTGTATTATTGAATAACAGTAATTAACATGACCAGTTTAAGTTTAATAAAAACGTTTTGCTACAAAACCTACAGACTACGTGTCTTCGTCTTACGATCCCTCTGAATAGAAACAAATACTCTCATAAATCACTTATTTTTTTAGCTCAGTGTAAGATCAGGCTGGATTGCACCTAACAGCAGTTAAAGTTAAGATTAATGTCAAATTTGACGATAACTGTCACATATTAAACTGTGGCGATGACTTTTAAATTAACTGCGGAATGCGTTGTATCAAAAATTTTGAATATACCTTCTATAAACTTCTTGAATTGTACCATTCGCTTTCTTGGAATAGTAAAACAATAACTTTAACTTACGGAGGTGGTTGACTATATAGGACTGTTTACCACCCGGTTATAGTTAACAATTAAACTTATGACGTCATCCCACTACTCATTAATTGCTTAACCAGTACTTTAACATGTTTGTTATTATTAAAATAATGTGGTGTAACTAACCCTTAGTGTTTTGAATTAAAATAACAATGAACTAATAAATTGAAAACGGTATTATACTTACCTATACATAACATTTCCAAGTGCTAAATCATCTAAATACTGCTTATTTTTCTATAGACTGGCGGTACCTGGTCGCTTGTACAGCATGTGTCGGGGTGGCCATGCTGTGCAAAGAACAAGGCATCACAGTCACCGGTGTCTGCGTAGTCTACGAATTGTTTGTCGCCCAAAAGGTAAAATTGTTATCATGAATTATCTTGACACAAGGGAAACGGTTTAACGTGCATTCCAAAACACGGAAGACTTTGAAATAACTTTTTTATTTTTGGTCACCCATCCGGCGATCAGCCTAAACGAAAGCTACTTTACCTGACCACCACGCTACTGAACTGCTCCTCATGTATCCATCGAAAGCGAGAAATACAATACAATTATTTAAAATAACAATTAAGTTGCATAAGCCCCGGTTACGATCAACTGTCATGATTCCATAATCGTGCTTTGAATTTAACTTACAACATAGGTAGGTTCTAAGTTTTATAAATTCTATTTTGTTTAATAACTATAAGTGATACCGCCAGTGACACTTTTTTGATTCGAAAAGCTTAACGTGATTCAAAATATCTTTTTTTAGATGAAACTAAATTAATTCAGGAAATTGTCATTACGTTTTTTTTGTTTTATTTTTTATAACATAATAAAATGAGGTATGAATACCAGTGGCATATTAAGGCGTGGGCGTAGAGGATTCCCGCCCACGGATCTAATTATCTATAAAAACCGCTACCACCAAATTGGCAGAACTACCTTTGATATAATAATGACCACAATAATAAAATCAAATTACACAAAAACATGATAGAATACAACCACCTAAATCGTTAGCTTAGTGGCCGGATAGCCCTAATTTGAAGCCTAGGTTTATTCCCCTGCATCAGCAGAGGCATTCAAACATCAAAACGTCAATTTTTTTTCTATTTCTTGAAGGCGCTTCTGTCATGTCTATAGTTGCATTATTTATATTTTTCCGGTCTCTGTTACTATATTATCTATGATCTTGAAATTTCTAGTTCGCTTATTCCACTCTTAGAGGGCGTTGTGCAAGTTTGCGATTCTGAGGCCTAATCGTCTTATTTTGTCCTGTTAATCAATCGCAAAGATTTTCACGAACTTCATGCTGCAACTTTTTGACATGTGATAGCGATTGCATTCGTGATCATGAATTTCAAGATATTGTATGAACGCTATCGTAAATTTAACGTTAATTGGAATGTCTAGGACGCCTAAATATTTTATTGTCTCTTGATCATTCAAATTATCATTTGTTCCTTTGGTAAAATAATATTATAATGAATAGGAATAAAAGTTCCTATGAACTATTTTTAGATTTAGTGGCTACTAAATGGCTCCGAAATATAAATAATATACTATCTTGTATGTTTAAGAGACTAGGATAATTCAAAACCGCGCCTTTTTTGACTGGAATGAAACGGGAACTGAAATGTACTGTGAGCACACTGAGCTGCTATACTAGAGTATTAAACTAATCTTAATTGAAAATTAATTAAAAATCTACTGTTACAGTTTTTTTCTGTTGAACGCCGTTTTGGTTTTAATTATTGCCCCGCTAAAGGCCATTGTTGTGCAAAAAGGCTTTAATGGGGTGACTTCACCAATACTTTAACAATGTATGGCTAGGTGAGTTCACGGCGCTGCATATCAAACAACAAAGTCTCTCATTTGACAGAATCATGTAAACAATGTAATGCAAACCCCCGTGAAACTTACTATTCATTAGTTTCTGCCAAGCATGAGAAGCAAAATAAATGCGAGCCAATATTACTCCTACACATACCTACATGTATAGGACTTGACCTCAATCAATTGTAGGGACCGGATTCATGCGGCTCAATACGAAGTTTTCCCTGCTGATTCTGAAGGCAGTTCTGTTCAAAAGTTGTGCAAAATAAACTATTTTTTCTAGAGAGAGTGCCGTGAATATTGTAGGTAGTTTGTATAGCCGATGTTACAATGGAACTGAATGTATTAGATAGTTAATATAGTAGACATGAATGACAATTTTTTGGACAGATAATAGACAGTTAAAATATACATGTACTACAATAGTTTATTTACTTTACACCACACATCTGATATTATTTGTACATATTTTTGAAATAGAAACAAAAGGAGACCACGACGATTTCACATGTTAAAATATTATATAGAAAAGAGTTTTTAACCAACAAATTTTGATTCATTATTTTAAACTAATTAACATCTATAAAATCTTTCAATTTCATTTAGTTATTATATTTAGTAGCTAGAGCTACCTAAACTTTCTGTCACAAAACACTTCTAAAATTCAACTACGTTTACATTTCGCATCTAAGAGGATAATTATAATTCACTTATAATAATTGTTGCCGACGACGACGACAGTAGAACCTCTTTATATAGTTTTTGTATACTTTTTACATTTTATTTTGTATATTGTTTAATTATGTCATTATATATAAAAAAATATCGAAACCCACGGCTTTCTATTTTAGAATCGTTATCAGTAATAATAGGTTTTATTGCTGTAAATTCTAAACAATTAATACTAAACCTGATGTCTTATTATTACTCTAAATTCTAAACAATTAATAATTAACCTTTACCACATATTTCTCCATGGTAATTTTTTTTAGTATACCTACTTTATTTAAAAAGTCAAACAAAACAAAATATAAGTATAGATAAATAAATACTGTAGTAATAACTAGATGTAGGTATATTATTTTTTGTAGTGACTGTATTAGATAATTGTCATTTGATAACACAAGTCTTCTCGTATTAAAGAGCACTACAAATAAACAGATATCTGGTAATATACTATCTTAAATAGAAAGCATTTTATGACTATAAAATTATTATTTTCGTAAAAAGAATAAATACTTTTAATAAAAGAAGACTAAGAAGAAAGGCAGAGCGCGTGATATATTTTCCCTGAGATATTTGCCGCAGCGGGATGTGAAATAATCCCCTTCACTGTTTAATTTTACATTCTGTTCTTTTCACTCCGTAAAAAATTATGTCTAGTATTAAATAAGTAACATACAACTGCGCAAGCAATATTAATATTTTTATCTATAGTATCTATAAATATAGTTCATCATGTTCTCTATAATATTTAACTTTGACAAGACTACATTACGTTGTTTATGCTTCATCGTCATGATTGTATTGAGATTTTTTTACATTTGTTTACCCAGATTATGATATATTATTGGCCATTTTATTGTACATATTACGCTCAAAGCTAATTGAGCTATTAAATGGTTCACAATGCGTTGTGGTCACAAGAAAATATCCACATAGCGAGTGTCGTGGCTGACATTCGATCACAATTGAGGCAATGAAGAAAATCCATAAAATGTTTTGAACCATATTTGATTAAATAACCTAACCTAACAGGTTAGAGTATAACACATAACGCACGAGCCGAGCGAACAAAGCAAGCGTGCTGGCGAAGCGTAAGAAACCAATAGCTATTGTAAAATGATACAGCTAGAATAAACCAAATAATGCACAGAACGCGTCGTGGCTTTTCTTAATTGCCACAACGCGTTGAGGTCAAATAGCATCTCAGCCACTCCACGGAATCCGCTATGTGGTTAATCTGTGAATGCCACAACGCGTCGTGATTATGAGCGTTTCCATTAGATCCATAACACGAATTTCGCTATGTGGATACTTTACTCTGACCACAACGCGTTGTGACCTATTTTGTCGCTCAATCAGCGATTGCTATCTTTGAGCATAATATACACACGGCTGCAGGTCAGTTTACCACAGTTTGTCAAATTTCTGCGATAAATTTTAAACATTAACCAAGTAAAGGAATTTGAATGATCTCTATTACTAACTTACTGTTTAGTGTAAAAGTGTTCTTGTTTATTTAATACTAGCCATTCTCACGTGACTTCACCCGCGAAAATTATAGCCTATATTGTTCATATATGTTGTAGCTTCCTGTGGGTGATTTTCTTTAATCGTTTCAGTAATTTTGGTGGACGACAATCAATCATATCTTTCATCCATGTTAATAGTATTACCTACCTACATAACTTGTTTTTGCATATTGACTAAAACTTGAATATATAATTATATGATTTTTGTGTCTTAAAAATCATATAATTTCGGGACAAAAGAAACAAATATTCTTATGTAGATCTGTTATATTATAAGATAAGAACGCGCAATAATACACATATAAATAACAGTAAACATAGACATCATATCTCGCCATCCAGGAGTTTTCTTTTTTATATTGGGTAGACAGATCTAGCAGTCTCAGCCAAGATTGCCTCTAACTCCAAGCAAAACTAATTTAGACTTTCCATACACGAAATAAGGTTGCATATTGGAACATTATATGGCTACATTATCCCGGAGTTCAATACTCAGTATTCCTACGACCCAGTTTCAAAGCTTTGTAAATGGAAATTACTTTTTGCCAGCTTTCTACTTTCAATGTTTCCTTTGGTCTAAGTTTCCATCTAGATATACATACCTATTTTATTTAACCGATTATTTAAATATAAAGTCTGATATTCGTTATATATCTACAGGTTTTCTATTTCTCAATTTGAATGCATCGAAAGTTTTAATGGTCTTTTTTGCCGTCCACTTCTGCACTCGTTATTGCAGAGACAATATCTCTCTCGGGAGGGAGAAATATTAAAAGCTACACAATGTAGGAAGCGCAGATATGAAATTTTACAATATGTTCATTCGTTTCTTTATTAAAATAATTAAATTGCTTTACTAGAAATATAGGATCATGGATGTTTGTATACTTTTATCTTACTGGGTTTCCTCCTCTTTGGAGGAAACCTTCGGAAACTTAATAATTAAAAATCCATACGAAGTTGACAGCATACTATTATGTATTACCTATGCTTATAAAAAGATCTTTTGAAATTGATTAATAATAACTAATTGTTTTTCCAAAGCTTATTAAAATGCATATATTACAATGGTGGGTCTTACCACACTCTTTATTTTGTCCTTGATTGCCGCATTAAAACTTTTTGTTTCTGATCTTTAACATCATTTCTTTTTTTTATATTCGCTTTTCGTAGTTTGAAATTTTTAGAAACATGTCATGCTAATTTTGAATGTCAGTCGTGAAACACATCAACAAAAACAAGACGTCCATATTAATATACTTGCTTGTCCAATCTACTTCCGACATTGGCAGAATAGTCGACACCTCTCTATTTGCCATCAATAAAAAATAGAATAGAAGACGTTTATTATTGTAAATTAATAAAATATTTTAAAGTATTAAGTACTCGTAATAGACAAAGTGTAAAGTAAAAGTGAATTATCTATATTTATGAAACTAAAATCTTTTTTTACCTTTACCATATATGTATATACTTGCCAAACCAAAACTAGCGCGAAACGAAACTAGCGCGGGCCTGGCCGGACCTGTTACACTATAAGTGCATCTGGTTCCCCTTTTTAATTGGGCTCTCTTGTGGAAGACTTACTTATGATTTCAAATAGTTATAATTAATTATAACGTCAACAACACCTCATAAAGTAGGTTACACAATTCAAGATAAATTAAAAGTTGTAACTTCGTACTTAATGGTCCCGTTTCTACTTAAATAAGTTTTATTTGTGAATAATTTTATAATTCGTCCGAGTTTTTTTTGCATTTGGCCATGTAATCATTATCATGAATGTTTTATTTTTTCTGAACATATCAAACAAATCGTTTTTTAAGTTCTCAAACCATATGGCATAAGTTTACAAAATTGCGTAATTCAGTTTCTACCCGATTTATACAAAATATCATCAACGTTTAACAAATAATAAACATTGAAAAATATGTTATTCAAATGTAAATATCTAGAAATGTATTCAACTTATCTCTTAAAAAATCATCAGACCTAATTGCCCGAGATTTTGCTAGAAAGTTTAATAGATCACATATTTTCTAAGCCATACCATAATTTAATCAAAGCAATCAAATAAAATTTCGGATTTTATCACAAGTCGTTAATTATCAACTTTTATTCCTATACAGCGGCGTAGTTCAACGGGAGGTAGTCGTTGGTCGTGGTTGGAAGCTTGGGGCAAAGGTTCTGGATGGGGCTGCGCGTGTGGTGAAGCGGCACGCCGGGTTGCCACCGTCTGCTGCGCGACCCTCGCACTTCTGGCAGCTAGATTACACGTGATGGGCGCTCAACTGCCCGTCTTTACAAGATTTGACAATCCGGCTGGAGCAGCACCGCCTCCTGCCAGGTAAAGTTTGTCTGCTAGTAAATCTACTTCAGATTTGAACTTTACAGACAAGTTATTAGATTTCGCGCTGATTATAAACTTTTCCTATTTGTTAATCTAATTCAGTATTCAATCAAACGAGACATAATGATTTTAAAAAAACCTAGGCCTAATACGAGTTGAATTTGCGCACGTAGGTATTCGTACCAGTAACTAGCAAAAAATCAAGTTTGTTGAATGGGAGAACCCTTTAATATTTATTTTATTCCGGTTTTTAGCATTTGATGTTGAAGAGAAATAATTCAACTGTCTAATTTTCACAGTTCATTGTATACAGCCTGGTGACAGACAGACAGCAAATTATTCGTAATAGGGTCCCCATTTTCGGGTATGAAACTCTAAAGAAGATTGAGCCCTTGTATTATAGAAAACTGACAACAGCAAACAACGAATGAAACACCTCTTTTTAACCTATAAAAATTACCACAACCCAGATAACATAGAAAAGTCAATTTTCTGCATTCTCTATAATAATTAACCAGAAATAGACCTTTTTTAAAAATCTATTTTGCCGTTTTTATATGTCGTATTTGTAAATTGTACATATAAATTTGTACTGACCTAATTTCTAAACAATAGATAAACTAACATCCAATTAACAAAATAAGTTTAGCATAGTCATCTTTCAATTTACGAGAACTAAACTTTCGCTTCATTCTTTACATTAAATTATCGGTTTTATTATGAAAGATGATCTTCCTAAGTAATCGAGATTCGGGATAATGGCCGGCTATGTATATAAACGACGCGGCGAAGCTACGCACATTAATTTTACGAGGATCGTTGTTCGACGGCGGAGATTTTCCTAGCCCTCAATAGTTTTGCCTGAAGTTTCATAAAAGATTCAGGGTCAACGAATTGAGTAACAACAGATATTAATTTTGATGTAATATTTTTTTATAATTAATAATGTGTGCATTTTACGGATTGCTATAATGGATGTTTTGTGCTACTGAAACTTGGCATGTCTAAACGTACTGTATTTGATCATACACCATTTCTCATTTACTCAATACCTACAATTTGGGATGATAAATGAGTTGTATCTGTCTAGCTCCAAATATATTATTTTATTTGTAACCACAGATTAATAGAGATGAATATGTATTTCTCGTTTGTAATAGTGAAGTGGATTATTAATTAAAACGAAACATATTACTTCCAGGCACTTGACATTTGCGTACTTGCCAGCATTGAACGCTTGGCTGTTGACGTTGCCTGAAGCGTTGTGCTGTGATTGGACTATGGGCACAGTAGCCCTGATACGGTCTTGGCGGGATCCGAGAAATTTGGCGACGCTTGCACTAGCAACTACACTTATAGCTGCCGCTGTTCATGCTCTGAGGACAAGATCATCTCCACTGTCAATGGTGAGTATGAAGATGATGACTAGTTTCGCTAGGATAACTTAAAGATCAAACTTCACTTGCATTAAGTGGAACTGATGCAATTATCATTTCAAAAAAATCTTAACGTGCTTCTACATCCTCCTCGTGTTTAATATTGTTTGATAATGTAAAGATGTCACTTTATCTTAATGTTGATAGCATTTTTTTTTTGTTACCCAAAAGATATCCTGTGTATGTAATAGATAAAAAATGTTAGGAGTTAAGACAGTGCTATTACTAAACTTATTAAAATTAACATAGAACACTTTTTATTCCCAAAAAAAACAAATATTTATTATCTTTTGGTTATGCTACATGAATACGAACCACATTACTGTTGTTCATTTATAATCATGCATTAAATTCATATCCTTTCAGGGTCTAGCACTGTTAGTGCTCCCATTCCTACCAGCTTCGAATCTATTCTTCCCCGTGGGTTTTGTGGTGGCTGAAAGGGTACTGTACATGCCATCTATGGGTTGGTGTTTACTTGTGGCGCACGGCTGGCGACTTCTCGCCAAGAAGAGGGCGAAGCTCGCCGCAGCCGCACTTATATTCCTGCTCCTCGCGTTCAGCGCTAAGACTTATGTCAGGAATTGGGATTGGAAAACTGAATACTCTATCTTTGCATCGGGTTTGAAGGTAATCAACAGTTCTAGATTCACAACAAATAATGTCGTAGACTATCTTAATTCACATTAAATATTTTCAGTCATTTCTTATTTTAAAACAACAAGCAATGACAAGAGTTATTACTTTAGAGTCAGGCATTTTCTTTAATAAATTACGATAACTGTAAAAGTTTTTATATATCTTTTATTTACTTGGTTAACTATTGTTATTTCTTTTATCATCTGTTGCACTAAAATGTATTTCTTACATCCATTGACAATTCATGCAGTAGCCAATAAATCACTTGCCCAATCACAGGTGAACCGGCACAATGCTAAACTGTACAACAACGTTGGCCACGCATTAGAAGCCGATGGACGGTACGCAGAAGCTCTAGAATTCTTCAACACAGCAGTCAGTGTTCAACCTGACGACGTAGGTGCTCACATCAACGTAGGTCGAACATACAACCATTTAGGACGATACCAAGAAGCAGAAGATGCTTACGTCAAAGCCAAATCACTCCTACCGAAAGCGAAACCAGGAGAGTCCTATCAAGCTAGAATTGCCCCAAACCATTTGAACGTGTTTCTAAATCTAGCAAATCTAATATCCAAAAATGCTACGAGATTAGAAGAGGCGGACATGCTTTACAGACAAGCTATTAGTATGCGCGCTGACTATACACAAGCTTACATAAACAGGGGCGATATTCTTATTAAATTGAACAGAACTAAAGAAGCTCAAGAAGTTTATGAAAGAGCTCTGTTGTATGATAGTGGAAATCCGGATATATATTACAACGTGAGTAGACTTTTTAATAAAAAACGATGTTTTTCTTTACTTACCCTATGTAAAGAAAAAACGTCTATATCTTGTTTATTTATTAAAGAGATATCAAAAAAAATCGTACATCATAAAATTATCTACAAAATTAGTATTCATAAAATACAATTTTATATTCATAAGATACAAATGCACACATTTCGACACCACTCTTTCAGCATAAAGTATATAATATTGTTTTTTTTTTCTGGGAAATATGTTTGATAAAATTTACAATTTAATTTCATCAAACATATTTTATAAAAATAAAAAAATATATACTGAAGTTTGACTTAACATTTTTAGTACACGTGGGATCTATGAGGACTTTTCGCATTTTATTTCTACCGGTGTACCCAAAAACTACAAAACTTGCTCAATAGGAGTTTATGCTATTTGATAACTAATTTTGTGTTTATTTTGACCGAACTAGTAATACAATTACTAACACCATAAAAGAAGCTTTTTATTAGTAAGTTGCATGGTGATAATTAATAAACAGGAAAGTTTGAAATAACGGTCCCAAAAAAAATAGAACGTTAGTATTCAGTTTCATAAAGTAGATACCACATTTTTATTGATAAAACATTTTTTTTATGCACTATGTAAAATATATCTGTCAGTATTATTTAAAATATCACGTCTCAATCCACATTTAACATATGATTGTAAGTAACTGAGCCTGTTTTTTGTAACTGACATTAAGACGATATTGTTTACATGTATGTCAATAAAATAAACCTCTTAGTAAGAGACCATGTTGGTTACCCGACAATTATCAGCAGGCCCGGATCTAAGGGGGCGCCAAAATCATCATTATATAATATGATGGGACAAACATTCTTCAAAATAATTGGTATAATAGAATAAATCATACACTGCAAAAATATGGAGCGTAGATGGGGTGAGGGTAAGACGGCGCCATACAAAGTTTTTTCCCCGGTTAATAAAAATCGTAGATCCAGGCCTAATTCTCAGTTTTAAATGTTACGTATTAATATTATTTGCAGCTGGGTGTAGTGTTGCTAGAACAAGGCAAAGCATCCCAAGCCCTCGCATATTTGGATAAGGCTTTAGAGCTGGAACCGGAACACGAACAAGCACTTCTCAACTCCGCCATACTACTGCAGGAGCTGGGAGCTGCCGACTTAAGGAATTTAGCAAGGCAACGACTCCTCAAACTACTGGATAAAGATGGTAACCTTGAAAACCATTTCTATTAACCGAAAAACTGAACAGAGTTAAACCTACGTTCAACTTTTTAATAAGATATTGTATGAATTTGATGACGCTGGATCGTATTTTTAGTCTGATAACATAGTTTTTTAAAACCGGTTAGTGAGATTAAAATTAATAATAAATTAGTGTAGTTAGATTCTCTAATTATAACAAACAGTATTCATTTGTGTATAATACCATGTTCTGTATCAGGGCGAAAGGAGTGAATGTTTGTACAAACAAATACTCACTCCTTTCGCCCTGAAAAAGAATAATAAAGCATATAGGTGTAAACACGATAACGTCTACCCACCAATTATATTGGATTATACTGCACCAAATAAGTACCATATAGCTAAAGCATGGACCTCTAACATATTTTTTTAATTCAAAACGTACTGACAAGCTATAGCAGCTTAGCTTATTTTATACCTTGTATTTTTACTCAAAACTGTACTGTAATAATTTTGAAAATAAATTTATTGTTATTATTTTACTTAAAATGAAGGAAATAGTGTTAAAATAAACTTGTAGCAAGCGTGAGGTAGATACAATTATGATCGAAATTTATGTAAAACTAAAATTACTTGTATAGCCCAGTGATCTTAAAAAAGATAGGCCATTACTGCTTATTGAAGGGTTTTAAAGTATTAATATAAATCGTGTGTTATTTCCAGCTACCAATGAACGAGTGCATTTCAACTTGGGTATGGTGTGTATGGATGAGGGTGACGCGGAATGTGCCGAGCGATGGTTTCGCGCTGCCGTACATCTAAAGCCAGACTTCAGGTCAGAGGAGCGATTCCGTTAAAATTCGAACTCGAATTCGAATTCACTCGTCTGTCTGAATTCACGGCATTTTGTGTATTAATTTTATTGATTCCATTTTTGTATAAAAATACAAAACAAAATAGATTGATTATACGTGTTTCAGATGTTCTATGAAACGCCACGAAACGTTATTATCAATTCATAGTTGAGCTGATGCCGCTTTTGAAGTGAATTCGGATACCTGAGTGAATTCGAACCCGAATTCGAATTCAATCATGTGTCATAACTACTAAATTCTTATTAACATAGATAATTTAGTTAATAATAACTACTAAATTCTTATTCACTATTTTAATGTTAATACTAGCTTTCCGCCAGCGGCTTCGCCAGAATGGTCCCATGGTCCTAGCAAATAGTAAATAACTATCTATATAGCGAAAATTTTTATATTTAATTGCTTATTATATGACTAGTGGACGCCCGCGACTTCGTCCGCGTGGAAGTCGGTATCCCGTGGGAGTGAGAAGTTTTCCCAGTAAAAAGTACCCTATGTGTTATTCTGATGTATAACCTATATTGCTGTAAAGTTTTATCCAAATCCGTCCAGTAGTTTTTTCGTGAAAGAGTAACAAACATCCATACATCCATACTTACAAACTTTCGCCTTTATAATATTAATAGGATAATAATAAAACGACTACAAGACTATCATTCTTGTAATTTGTGCCCAAATGCGGTGTTAAAACCGTTTACGTGGTCTTTTTAGGGGTAATATTTTTAGCTATATTATCGATAATAAAATATTTTTTGCTACTTGGGTGGTTACTATGGCATCGTTTTAATTCCCTATACAAACTTCCACCCGCATTTTCATCCCTTTATTTGCTGTTCGGTATAAAATTAGCCTATATTCATTGTATACGATGTAGCTTCCCATAGGTGAAAGAATTTTTCAAACCGGTCCAGTAGTTTCGGAGCCTATTTGTAGCGAACAAACAATGAAATATTTCCTCTTTATAATATTAGTACCTATAGATTGACTCAATTCGAATTACTTCTTTGTTTCGGAATCCCGTAATATATGGGATGTAAAAATTCTCTTAAGTTCTAGGATTTGCGCTATATTAGTTATTATTTTTATTGTTCACATAAGTTTGTCTTTGTTTTTTAAAAAAATATTAGTAAGGTTATATCAATAAGACATTTTAAACTGTGACTGATCGCTGTTTCTATATTGGTACAGGTCTGCCCTGTTCAACCTTGCATTACTGCTAGCGGACAGGCGGCGGCCGCTAGAAGCCGCGCCGTTCCTCAAACAACTGGTGCGTCACCACCCGGACCACGTGAAGGCACTGGTACTGCTCGGAGATATCTACATCAATTCCGTCAAGGATTTGGACGCGGCCGAAAGCGTTAGTATAACGTATAATTACTTTTCTTTCGATTTTATTAATGCTTTCTTTATGAAAAGGATTGTGTATTAATATTATCTTCTAAAACACGGTCTAATTGATTACTTGACAGTTATAACAATAAATTATTAAATATAATGGAAATGGTTACATTTAAATGATACGTATGAAGTATTTTACGTTTTAAAATCAATTTTAAGTATATTTTAACTTCGTACAATTAGCTCGCGATTTGTAATCTGTGGATGACAAGAACCGAAACGCGGGCGGCCATGACGGAGTATTGTGTGACGTCACATTTCAATAAACTAAACGTCAAAGAAAAAAAAACGTGGATTGAAATGTAACGTGACTGTTTGTTTTTGCGGGACAATTTATTTATTTATTTATTTATTTATTTATTTATTTAGTACACCAACGATTGTTACATTAATTTGATTTAGTAAACTAACTTAATTTAAATTTGCTGAATGTACAATCATTTACAGGTGAACATCGCATGCAAAACCTGAAATAAACATTTACTTAGTTTACGGATCACACAATCTCACTCCATGAAAAACAACTAGGAAACAGTTACAAAAAAAAAAAAAAACAAGCAAAACAATATACTTAATACACTGAGACATTGAGAGTTGAACAATTATTTAGACACTAATCGCTTTAATTCAGCTTTAAACTGGAATAGAGACATCGCATTTACATCAAGGGAATCACTATATTTGTTAAATAATCTACCAATTCTCGATACTGGTGAATTTGCACCCAGAACCGTTCGGCGAAACGGACGCATAATTGGTTTGATTGGCTTGCGTGGTATATGGTACGGTATCCTGAACTTAAACATCTCTAACAATGTAGGACAACGCAATTGGTATCGCATGATTTTATAGTAGAACGTTATATCTAACATGTCTTTGCGTTTGTCTAAGTTGTGTAATTTATAAAGGTTTAACAGCTGCTCGTATGGTAGTGACTTTTTATCTCTATTGTGGGTGAATGACAAATATCTCGTCAATCTTTTCTGTATGCGCTCAATACGTAATATGTGTATGGCATAATGTGGACGCCAAATTGTACTACCATACTCTAGAATGGATCTAACTAGGCAATAATATAATTTCAGTTTTGTGGATGGATTTTTGAACATTTTGCTGTTCCGCATGACAAACCCTAACATTTTGGTAGCCTTCTTTACGATGTGATCTAGATGTGGAATAAAAGTAATTTTACTGTCAAATAACACTCCTAAGTCACTGACTACATCCATCTCTGACAATTGGTTGTTATTGATATGATAATGAGATGGTATGTTTTTTGTTTTTCTTGAAAATTTTATGTGTGAACATTTCTTTATATTAATTTCCATCTCATTATTATTACACCAATCCATCATGGCATCCAAATCCTGTTGTAGCGCTATCACATCGTCCCACGACTCGATTACCTTTGCCATTTTTAAGTCATCAGCGAACATATACGGTGTTGAGTTTGAATAACCAGGGGAAGGTCATTAATAAATATATTAAAGAGAATAGGTCCCAGATGCGATCCTTGTGGCACACCAGCAGTTATACTTCAATTATATACAATTTAAACAAATGTATAAAAATATGATTTTCCTTTCCTAACTATAGTGAAAAATAATTGATAGCGGTCTAATATATTCGTATTGGTTTTAACATACAGTTCCTAAAACAGGAAAATAGCCAATTGACGCAATTGATCGCAGCCTTTTTTCTTTATAGCTGTGTGATTAGAATTGAAATAGTGATATAGGCCCAACTCAAAGTAATTTCATTCTGCAACGGGATTGTAACGTTTATTGGTCTGTGATATAAGAATATGCATATGATTTTTATTAAATATAGTCTGTGTTACTGTCAAATTAAAGCTATTACAAATTTTCATGAAGAAGTATTATTATAAAAATCTCAACCCCACGGTGATATTTGACTCTATGGTTATTTATTTTATTTATTTATTTGGACAATCAACAAGAACGCACACTTTACATGCTAAAGTTTACAAAATTTGTAGTTTACAATTATTTGGTGTGGTTGGTTGGTTGGATGGTTATTACAAGATACCTTATATTTCATTATCTTATGATCTCCATTGCAGTGCTACCGCCGCATCCTCGAATTAGAGCCGGAGAATGTGCAAGCTCTCCACAATTTATGCGTAGTGGCGGTGGAGCGCGGGAAGCTAGCGATCGCAGAGGAATGTCTCACGCGCGCCGCCGCACTGGCGCCCCACGAAAATTATATACAGCGCCATCTAGCGGTCGTAAAGGCGAGACGTTCGGCTGCTTCCACTGCTTCGAGTACTGCACCGCCACCAGCGGCCGAAGTGCGCGCCCGTTGGAACTACATACCGCAACAACCGCCTGATCCACACGAAGCGGACGGCTCATAGCGAACTATGTAAATAAAACTAGATTAAACATCAACAGTGTTATTAATAAACAAGGTTTGGCGTTGGAGTAAATACACGCTGAGACTGCATTAGCATTAGTCAAAATTGATATTATCGAACAGAGTTAACCTAGTACGAAGTTCTACGGGAGTAACATGTATGTACTCCTGGAAGTAGATTTGCTTATTCTCTGTATAATAACAATTTGGACTAATACTAAAATTGCAATTTTAGCGTAAATTTATGTTGACGCTAAACCTTGTTTATTCATAACACTACAAAGGAATACGGCCAATACGTTTACATACTGATTGCCTACTGCTCGACACGTTCTTAAAACTCTCGTGATCAGGGTATTTATTACTTGTTGCGATTCGTTTGCTCTGTTTGCCAATCGCAGTTGAGGTTGCCAACATTATTAAGGAAATTATTATAGCTCTTTTCAGAATAGGACTTTATGTATAAATAGAATATATTACCAACACAAATAATGAAATTTCAATAGGTATTCAACCCCCAAATATACTAGGTGTTTTCACTTCTTTAGCGGTATATGAAACACGGATCCGAGATATAGAGGATGTGAAACGGTTGGCCACCCCAACTGCATTAAATCTGTTATTTTTTTTTTCAGTAAAATTAATTTTAGGTACACAATAATAAATTTGACAAAGAAAATATATGTATATAGGTAATACCAAGTTATAAAACCGTAAAGTAAATGATCATTGAAAACAATTACGTGTCTTAATTATTTTGATATTAACCGATGCATTTATTGCGCCAAATCTATATTTTAGATTGATCTCTTGGAGAACTTATGATTTGCATACGGCGTTTCGTGATATTAGTTAATTACACTAAATAATAAAAAATAATTGTATGCCATGAATATGTATAATAATGATTAGATATTATGTAGACTATTTTGGAACGAGCTTTTGTCATTATTAGCCTGGTATACGGAATATAAAATTTATGTGCGCGTATTTATTATAATAGGTGAAAATTATGTAATAATTTGATATATAATGATTTCATTAATTATTGGTCCAAGAACACACAATATTGATCAGAGATGCAAGAAGAGTAAAATAAAATAATTAATTCACAAATTATTACATTATATGTCGACATTACTATATCAATACGGCATGCTTACCTTCATGCTCACTAGCGCCATTATTGATAAGATGTTTTTATTTAAAATTAAGTTAATAGATCTAAAATTGAAATAATTATATTGATTTTCAAAGAACAAATAATTTCGATATCTAAACATCTCTAGTCATATTGCAATGTTCGCTTTATTATTTTACAAAATGTGACAACAACTGTTTTTTTGTCTTTGTAATATCTAAAAAGAGTACGATATAGTTTTGTTTTAAACAATAGTGTATTAAGATCGTATCATTGTAACTAACGTTGTCCTAAAGCTTCGTTTAGATATTGGGAGTAGCCATAAATAGCATACCCCTCGTATCATCACCCCCATACCGAATATTTAATCGAAAATAACACCTTTATTAATGTCTAGAAACAATTTGAGCCCCATAACGTTCGATGATTTAAATGCTCTTCAATTTATATTTACGAATTTATCTTTTGCATAAATAAAAAATAATACTGGCACAATTATTGTCTTTTTGTCACGGTTGAAGTTACAAATGAAATCATTGATATTATTACTTAAGTACATGTAAATATAACTTACGTTTAATTACGTTTAATAACTCAATTAAACAGTAATTTGTCATGTCTCGAATAAAATTCAGGTTTATTTGAAAATAAATTCATAAGATCCAGTTCATCACTGGTTATATTCTCAGTAACAATTGATAAAATGTTATTTTCGTAAGGGCTAATGTTATATTGTAAAAAGAAAATAAAAGTGATCGACCGTTATTAGATTTAGACGTGAAAAATGTAATGTTGTTAATGTTTTAAGATAAAAAAAAATTAAAGTAACTTTTGTAAAAACTGAATTTTTTACAATGTCTTGAAACATTCCTGGTGGATACTCTCTACTAGAGTTGAAGAATTCGTAAGGACCCCGAATATTATAAACTATTTGTCGTCAAAACGTTTATTTTTATAAAATAAAATGATGTTTCAAGTGATCTACGTGTTTTTATTTGTCCTTGTGTATGAAGAAAATATTTATCAGTCCGCAAATGATCAGTGTTAATATAGTATTTTCGGAGATAAATAAATCTTTATGGCACCGGTACGCAACGTCAGTCTGGCAGCCTTACATAAATAAAGGACTTGGTATCATGAAATCATTTCAATGACCAAACTAGTGCTGTTTATGGTACTTCATATAATAATATGATAACCAAACTAGTGCTGTTTATGGTACTTCATATAACTTCGATAACGTAGCAGAAACCCAGACCGCTCATTGACACTGATCAATGGGATCAGCATGCGGAATGCAGCTGACAGTTGAATGCAGCGTCATCTCATTAGTAAATAAAATGACCGACCAATGAAAGCGAGGTATAGAAATCACACGCCACACGCGGATGTTATCGATCAGAATCAATGCGAGTGTAATTTAGAAGTGTCTGTCAATCCAGCAGCAACACTCTTTTGTATTTCAAATTAATTCTTAACTCTTTAATTACCATAATTACGATGAAAATATCCCGATCGTCCCTTTCGTAGCTACCTACCTACTCCTCTTTCGTGACATGCCAATTTATATTTCAGCACCTGTTTAAATCTTTAACAAGAATGCAATAAAGAGAATAGTTATAGATTGATTTCATGGCAGTAGTCCCGACATAATGGCAGCGATATCGACCATTGCTCCCGCTAAATGACGCTAATATAAATATAGGTTGAACCTTAAGTTTATTTTTTAATAAAGTCCTATATAAAAGTAATAATGTCAGTCTACACAGCGTACCTTTTAGCGTACGACCGAATTTTCGGTTTCGATCTAGTTTCGGAAAAAAACGGGTTTCGGTTTCAGTTGCAAACCGACCGAATCCGAAACTGCATTCGAACGTGCTCTGATCGGTTGGTTTTGTTCGACGCATTGAAATCCATCGGCGGCCAATCGCCGACGAAGACATTTGCCGCATCTTATCGTGATTGGCTTGTTTTATTGTATTTTGGTGTAATTTCAATAATAGCAGAGAGTAGATAATAAACATCAAACGATTATTCGATATAAGAAACTAATAAGTTCATATATTATAGTATAATCAAGTTTAAACTATCTAGTGCTATAAGATTGTTGAATTAATTATGAATAGGCACTACTTAGTAATAACGATTATAGATACCCACTTGATTATCTTTTGATTCATCACGTCTTATGATTACTTTGAGTTTATAATTAATAGTAAAGCGTTCGTTTCTTTTAAGTTTAGTTTACAAAATGACGAAATAAGATGAAGTTCATTACTTAAATAATAAAATACCATACGTATGCAATAAGGAAACTCAAATGTTAAGTAATATTTTTTATACCATAAATTACATTCAAAAGAAGAATCTGTCTCATTGATAAGACACTTCATCTATTTTATGTATTTTAAAGACACAATTTTCTTTTCTTAAATTAGGTTGTGAAAAGGTAATGATTAGAACTAATTATCATCTGTAATGAAATTTAAATATTTGTAAAAACATTTATTTCGGGTATTTGGGTAGATTGCCTTAACATTGATAAAAATACACTCTGTTGTAGCTACAACAAAGTAACAAGTGCTTGAAAAATTCATCAGTCCTGTTAGGTCGCCCGGATTGCGAAAGGTCATGGGTTCGAGTTCCATCTCAGAGTGCAAGGGACAAAGTGGATTTTATAAACATTTTTCATTAAGAATACTTAAATTAAAATGATTCATATCTTATTAGTTAGACAAATAACTAAATTGGTTGAGAAAACAAGAAAGTCCATATTTAAAAGTATTATTTTTATTAGTATTAGGTTGATGATAATCATGATATACTTTTTTGATATCCTTGTGTTAAGCCTTTTAATTCGATACCCATATTGTGGTATTCAAAAAAATTTTTGACTAAGTACAATGGCGTCGAACGTCCGCCACACAGTCCGCCATGTTTGATTTTCCTAAACGTCATCTACCTTGAATACTTGGGACTGCTAAAGCATAACCCTTTCCTTGCAGTCGGATAAAAAATTAAGACTGACTGACGAAACATGAACCTCGTAAAGAAGTTTCGGTTACGACCTTAACTGAGACTGTTTCCGAGATTCGGTTTCTGTTTCGGTCGTAAGAACCAGTTTAGGTCGGACACTAGTACATTTCATAAAAAAAATTGTTGGCAAATCAATTATGGTTGTTAGATCGTCAAACAATTAAAAATTAAGAAATATGTCTACAACAGTAAATGAAAAAAAGATAGAAAGGTTATTGATGTTTAAAACCTTAGAACACATTTCTCGATTTATCATTGAGACATAAGATTAATTCAACAAAGAAATTAACCACATGCCCTACAACGCGCTTTTCAAATTATTTCACAAAGATTTCTAGTGTAAAAATAAATATATATAATGTGGCGAAATAAAAGAATCATTTTGTGTAAAAGATTAACTATATTGTTTTGTACAGTGAACTATTCACAAATTCAATACAATATCGCACCAATTACACTACGTAACCTTAAAATAATTCGAATCCACTATGTGTAACATTTTACAATAAATGGAACTAATTACTCCTGTGGAATTGTTTAAACGGATTTATGATCACAAAAGAGAATGTTCTTTTAAATAATATCAAATAATATTCATTATAAGTAGGTATTTCGAGGCAGATGGGATAAACTAGCAATACTCAAGACGACAACTACATTCGTAAAATTTAAGTACTATCACGATTCCCAGTCGTTTATATTTACACTTTTAATAAAACTATTAATTAAATTTCTTAAAAAAAAGTAATTTCGCACTAGTACACATTTTTCTCATATTTTTCTGTAAACAACATAGGAGTATGCTGCTCTGTTAGTATTATGTTTAATAATATACTTTATTGCATGAAGTTTTACAGATTGACTTTAAACAAAACCAGCGGCTTTCAGCTTGTTTTGCCGCCGACATGTAACGATATTGGTCACAAATTTTAACACGCAGTACCAATTTGACTGCCTCAACTCAGATTTTAACTTCCCAAAAAACCTTCAACAAAAAACTAACAGAACGGAACACTCAACAACATATTGTAAAACAATTCACAACATAAAATATCTAAGGTAAAATAAAGGAATATAATTTAACTATATACAATTATCTTCTCAAAATTAACAAAACTCACGATCGCTCACCAAGTTAATCACACATTCATTATGACCGTTTGATGGGCTTGCTAACATATATGCCTTATTTGATCCTCATTTAAAATGTATTGCTGCGTATTTTTACTCGAATATTTTTCGAGTTATTAATATAAGGCCACACCTCCAATTTTGAAAGTCATTTAGAAAAATAACGTGCAATCTATGGTAGGTGCCAGTTTATTGCAAAATTACTCTTAATCACTCATATTAAAGTTTGAAATCGTTACAAACAATATTCATTTTCTAAGGTACGCTTAAATCGTAACTACATATTTTATAACAAAGTTAGGAGATCATTTATTTTCTGAAATCATTGCAAACTCAATTGTACATTAAACGTATATAAACGATATATATTTATTACAATTGTCCAACGAAAAACGATACACCAAATGACTTTAGCATAAATACGATTTGACAGTTCAAAGAAATACTATAAAGTAACAATAATTTAGAAAAACTGGCAAGTCTATTTTTGAACGAATGCATTATTTTATTTTGGTGATTGTCAAGTGTTTATAACAGCCTCGGCAAAAAAATAATACTCAATCGGTCAGTTGCACAAACATCCATTAAGGTTTAATGACGCCTTTACGCTCTAATGAATGTCAAATTTGTATGGCTAATGTCGCTTTAAACTAATGACAATTTCAATGGACGTTTGTGCAACTGGCTGAATATCAATCAACCTATTTAATTACACTGAAATGACGATATTATTAACAACAAAACTTCTTATAGTGTTAATAAAAAATGGCCTGTTAACTATTTATTACGTTACACGTAATGTCTGTGTTCATCCACGACAAAATATCGAAATAATTTAATTTTAATAAAATTGTAAAACACATCTACATTGAGGAGCCGAATTTTCAATTAAAACTTCCAAGGATAACTTATAAGAAAAGGTTTTTATGTCAACGAACATTAAAGCAAATATCACAACTGAAATATCCCTTTAAAATCACGACCTATTTTTAGCTTGCCCGTTGACACATATCTATTTAAATGTATAATAAACACCCAAGTTTGTTCTATTATAAAAATAAACCGGTTTAGTTATTTATTTTTTTCTATTAAGTCACGCCAGGCTACAATTCAAAACGGTCAAAATTTCCACTTAATTAAATACCTTAACGCGTTGCATGTAGATTCCAAAATTAATTGAGGAATTTTGACACGTTGTAGTAACCCGAAGTGCAGTCGTGTGAATCTTGTCATACTATAACCACAGTATAACAGTATCAAGCAAGAAAAATAAAAGAATTTCTATACATTATTATTAACCATCCATAAGGGAGGTCTGACGTAAAAAAACTGATGATGATAATTAATTTTATTAATTAACGGTATATACAAAGCTAATTTTATATTAGCTTTTCATGTTATATCTCGTCGTTGAAGTTCTAACACCACCTACCTTTGTCAAAAATAGCAACCTTTTAGTAAGTGAATGAAAAAATCGCATTATTTTGCATAGATACCAAAATAATACAAATTAACAATTTATATACACTTGATAAGAGTTGTTATTCATGTAAAATCATAAACTGTATATAAAGAAAAAATATTATATTTTGTTATTGTATCAAAATATTAAAACCGCTAAAAAGTGACTTACGTGGCGCTAGAACTATCAACGACGAAATGGTATTTAAACATTTCAATCGTTACAAAAAAATCGAGATTCCGTTTCTAAACGTTCAGCATTTCTATTAATTTCCATAGAGCAGGTAATTTCGCTGTGTGGTCATGCAGACGGGAAATAGAGAATTTGTAATACCAACTAGAACATTAAGCGAAACAACGTAGAACTAAGTAGAAAAAACGAGTAGGCGACATTTATATCACTCGTTTAGAACGGTCATCACTCGCGTTTAATACTCGGTTCAAGAACATCGCGTGCGTATCCTAATATAGGCAAAATTTTCTGCTGACGCTTCGGTCACAGCACATTCCGGTGATAGTCAGTAAACGACCAATCTTGTCTCGTATTATACGATACAAAGACAATTTTCTTTTCTTCATACATTCATTTTACGGTCATAGTATGTTATATCGTATTGGGCATTAATCCATAGTGACAATAATAATATTCAATACATATTTATTAACAGTATTCACAGCGAACTGTGTTAATTTATGGTAAATAATTTATGATCAGCTACCAAATGTACAAAAATTAAGCCAACACAGAATCTAAGATAACTATCTAGCAACTAATCAAATAACAGAGCAATTAATGTGGCCAACATGAATTAAAAGAAAAAAAAAAAAATTTCCATTATCCACACACGAAAGAGTAGTAATAAGGACTAGTATCTGTTATTCTATCTGTAAGACCACATTTATCAAGCCCTGCACAAACCTAGACACTTATTATCGACATGACACATCATCACAAAAGGCCCGAATGCTTTGTCGTTTAAATTGTACGTTCAGAATCGCGCTCTGCCAAATCTAGACTGCAAATAATGATAAATGTAGTCCTGACTAACAATTAACTCAACATCATTATGAATTGAATATTATAAATTAATGACTCAGGATTTTCTCTGGCCTACTTCCTTAACACCATAAAATTGTCAGGAAAGCATCTTCAACTGACAAAATTTCTAGTTACCATTTGATAAGCAATCAATATATGTTTAATTTCTGAGTCTATGCAGAGAGTAACAGTTTTCATTTATATAAAAATAAAATATTAACTGGAAACTTGTATCTAACAAAATACATAATGTTTTTGTTTAGGCCAAACGCTTTTTGACGCTACCACTATCCTGCATTGGATACCATTGGTTATTATTGTTAAATAGCATTCAATGTCAAAATTTGTCTGGTCGAAGATTTTGTCAGCATGTGGCACCGATATGTTTAAGATTGTTTACCGCAAAAGGATATAGGAACATATCTGTTTTCATAAGTGAAGTGTGAAAGTCAGTTTCTGAACACAAATCCAAGTTGTCCTGAATATACCTTTCGTATGTAAAAACATATTTGAAATACCATTAAATTATAGTAATAAAAACACAACCAAATCGCTGGATTAAAACAAACAAAAAAACAACAAATTGAAGAGAAAATAAGTTCTGGAGATTTGTCATTTGCTGATATTTATTTTAATCTTTAAACAATAAGAACTACCAACTCCTTTTAATTATTTATGCTTTTGTCCTAGAAAACCATTTTTAAACAGTAAATTTTTGTTTTATAAAATTTTCTATAAAATATAAAATCTTTGATGTTAATAAGATTCAAAAAATGTTTGTTTCCCCTATAAGTTAAAAAATAAGACATTTTTGTCATGTTAACACTAATAATACAGATGGAACTAAATTATTTGAGCCACTAGCATTACTCATTTGGTTGGACATACAGATTTGATTCTATTGAAAGTTAGCTAGGTATATAAAAGTATCTTACTTATGATTTATCATTTAATAGGAAACTACCGTCCGGTTTTCATCATCACCTTGATAATTGAATAACAATAAAAATGTTTGCAGAGAATATATCAACGTATGTTACATACAGTTGAGACTTTTCAAAATCACACAAGACTTTTCGACATCACATAAGACTTTCCCACATCATATAAGACAACTTCACGTTATTTGAATGAACTGTGTGATAACTTTAAAGAAACTAACATATTTATTACATTAGTTGGGTGTAACCAAACTAAGCTGTTTGTACCTCACCCTCATAATCTGCTTCCACTTCAAACTCAAGATCCTCTTCCTCTTTCTGTTGTTTTACTAATGCTAAGTGACCCATTTTATACGCTGTCATCTCCTGTAACAACATACTAAAAATTATAAAATAATATTATTAATACTTAAAAATTAATTAAACGATTCGTTTTTAACACATAATTATTTTAATAAGAATATGTCAAATAGCAACATCAAACTATCCTAAACATGTCGTGATTATAATTGAATTATTTTATATATAAAAAATAATACAAATGGTTAGGTTAATATATATTTAAAAATATGGAGGTAAAAAAAATGGGGAAAATGCTCTGCTAATTAAATAAAATGTAATAATTATCACATCACATCCATATGGTGAGCGATACATTAATTAAATGTTAACAGGAAAAAGCTCTAATTTTGATAGAATTATAAACATAAACAAACCCAATAATGTTCATGTTCATCAAAAATCCCTCCAAATTTGATATAATTATTATCATCCTGTCTACTTAAATTTCAATTATTGAACCATGGTATCCAAAGAGACTCACGCTGGATAGTTTTATACCAAATACTTTTTGATGATTGTTGTTCCATCTATTAATATTTTAGAGCTGTAGTTAATGTATATTAAGGGTACAATATGACTTAAACATAAAAGTCCTTAAAAAAATTATTTAAAAAAACATGATCACCCTATTCAATACACCCAAATGCAAATCTAATAAATTATTATATACCTTATCATATCGCGCCTTGTCTTGTTCCGACAAAGCTTCGTACTTGGACTTGGTCTGCGGATCTGCGGCGGCCCAGAGGCGACCCAGCTCCTTAGCGATATCACCCATAGTGTACATAGGATTACTCGCTTTCACTTTAGAACGTTCGTCGTTGCAGAACCAGAAGAACGCCGAGCTGTCGATATTGTTATGGTTATTTTCTAATCATTATCGTCGTTATCATCATAACCATCAGCACACTATCTATTAATGTCCCGTGACTATTTTATAATTTCACTAAATATAAAATCACATTTTATATGAAAACACTATTAAATGTTTAAAGAAATCTCATTATTCCGACACTAATAAAATAAAAGTTTCTTTTGAGTTTAAGTTGTAATATTTCTTAGAAACAAGTCAGCTGCAAACATAAATGTTTCGAGTATTTAAAACACCTTGGAAAATCATCCCTATGGTACACTTGAGTGAATTTTGACATAGATTGATAACTTTCGACTACTACGTATAAGTCGCGGTTAACTAAGTAAGGGGATATCCAAGTCAAAATAAAAACAGAAATCATATGAATAAGTTCATCTATAAGTATATGGTTTGTCAAAGGCCTTGCAGCAAATTCGTATTAGCATCTACTTGCTACAGTATATGATACTGAGGTGTTATATTGATGTTTATCTTATAAAAATACTTTTAAAAAGTTAAAAAGTAACGAATTGGCATAATTTTAAATATTTTTTCTATAAAATAAATATTTAAGTAATTTTTCATCTAGTAAAAATGGTTTGAATTGATAATCTAATATTTTGAAATATAAAAGATCATCCATTGCTTTTACTTTTGTCTTATACGGTATAGGTCGATCATCCAAACATAAAATATACATTTGTATATTTTTACTTTCGTGTGTATACCAAATAACCAAAGGTTATTTGCGAAATTTCTCAATATTAGTTATTTTTTTACATACGAATATAAAATGGGCGAAATTTATCCTAGTCTTCCCTGAAATTATTGAATCCGAAAATTTTAAACGAAGCACTATTTAGAAGGCGACTAATCAGCTGATCGATGGAGCCGCGGTTAACGTTTACTAGACTCCATGATACAAAATTACCTAGCTTAATTCTGCAAATTTCTTACATAATAATTGCATTTTAATAGTCACAACTACTTGCATTTTGCCATTGTACTTATCAATGTGCAATGTCTTGTTCACAAATCAATGGTGACAGATATATTTACTATTTTGTGATATAGTAACAAGAACTGTGTCATAAAAGGTTGTAGTTGCAGCACTTTCAACTTTCCGTAGTCTTTATATAGTGCTAACATTAGCAAATTTACCTACTGATATGTCGACAGTCAAAACAAACCTGTGGCTTGGCTATAAAATTATGTATGAAATTTCTAGGAAATCTGTATCAGAACTTAATTAAGACCAAGAAGCATGGGATGACACACATATACTTAAATCTGTCTCATCAGAAATGGATACTCATTTAACAAAAAATGTGTATACAAATATAACATTCAATATTACAAAAACAAATCATTCCCTTCTTGTATCGCATCATTGTGGCGCAGACATTTCAGTCAGTAGACATATCATTTCATTAGCTTTATCTTCCGTATTTTGTGGGTTCTAAACCATTGCTATTTCAAAATTTACCTTTATGTTATCCCCATTATCAAATGTTACCTTTAGCTAACTATGCTAATTGACATATAATTTATTGAGACCATAACTCACAGAGATCGCTTGGGCGCGTTCGGGTCTTTCACTTGTCGCTTGCGGCCTCGCACTTTCACGTCTTTCGGAGGCACATAGTTTTGCATCTCTACGTCATATCGCACCTTATCTTGCTCAGCCATCTCATGGAACCTCTCCTTTTCTTTTTCCGACATTGTCTGAAAACAAGGAACGTGTTAGCTTATGATGTTAACAAATAAGAATTGGCTTTATTTTCACCTTTTGAATTCAAGCAGTAATGACTTCTAGAGAAATTTTCTTTTTCTATTTGGTTTAAACAAATTACTACGTAGTTAAAATATTTTGTCAGCATAAATTTTAACATTAGTTCACATAAATAACATAATCCTTCTCACAGAAGTATCATCAGCTAAAACTTAAAACAGAACTCACATTCCACCTCTCGGCGCACTTCTTTGAGAATGCAGCAAATATCACATTCTCATCTGGATGCTTCTTCTTATGTTCCTCACGACAGGTTTGTACGAAGAAAGCGTATGCCGTCATGCGGCCGCGTGGCTTATTATAAGGCCGCGCTCGTGGCATTCTGGCTTTAGTGACTGTGCCTTGAGCTAAAGCTTGCTGTTGTGCTTGTTGTTGCAGCTCCTGGTAACAACCAAAAGGAAAATTTAAAAAACAAAACAATGAAGCTGATCTATAAAAGCATCAATATACACATAATGAAAATGAACCATTCCTTAAAAAACAAAAAAATTTCAATCTCATATAGAACTTACTTAATTATAATTTTACATTAACTGATTTCTTGAAAGGACTTAATTAATTTGTTGTGGTCTAACATGGAAATTTTGAAATATTAAACTGCTTCTTGTACTAGGCAATAAATTCATGTGCCAATTTTTAAGTTTAGACTTAGCAGTTTGGTCTATACATTGATAAGTCTGAGGTTTTATTTTAGATTACAAATTGATATTGATTCTTTCTTTGCCTTTAACAATAAAAACAAACCTGTAAAGTAGCAGATTGTCGTTGTAAAGCAGCTTGTATCTGTTGTTGTTGGACTGCTTGCATATGATCATGCAGCGACTGCTGTTGCTGCTGCAATGTCTGTGCAACTTGTTGCTGCAAAGCTGCTTGAGCTTGGACAATAGCTTGTGCTTGAGCCTGGCTCACTTGCAGTGTCTGTTGTAAGCTCTGCTGTAATGCCTGCTGTTGCTGCTGTTGTTGTTGTTGCTGTTGTTGTTGCTGCTGTTGTTGTTGCTGCTGTTGTTGTTGCTGCTGTTGCTGAAGCTGTTGTTGTTGCTGCTGTAACTGTTGTTGTTGTTGGTGCTGCTGTAGCATCTGCTGCAGCGTCTGCTGCTGAGTCTGTTGTTGCTGCTGTAAGGCCTGCTGTAGATTTTGCTGTTGTATCTGTTGCAGTTGATTTTGTTGTAATGCTTGGTTTTGTTCTTGTGATTGCTGCTGCAGAACTTGTTGGTTCTGTTGAATTCCGTTTGTCTGCTGGTTTCCCTGATCACGGTCCGGACTTGACTGGTTTTGGGACTGAAAAGAGATTTTTATTTATAAATGAAAAACCTTATTACTTAAAAACATCTATTTTAAAAAACTCAGAGACAAATAATTCATATCCAAAATATTTGTACTAAATATGTACTAAACAATTGTTAGTCCAAGCAAATAAAAGTTATATAATTCTAAAAGTAATACTTGAATAATATTTGAAATAGAATTCTCTACATATTAGAATATAACGCAAAACGAAGTGATAGAACTATTGTTTTAAACACAACTTGAATTTGGCATTTATAATTGGAGGGTTATTTACAAAAACAGACTAACAAGAAATATAGAAAACTTTTCCTTATATCCCTTTGATTATATAATCAAAGTCCAATTCATATTTTCCCTTTTATAACTTCAAACTTTCGATCATTTATTCATGACATTTTCCAATATTTATGCCAGCTGCTTTGTAGTAACGTAACAAAATGTACCTAAGTAGTTTGTAAAAAAATGCATTTAATAATTTTTGTAATATTAAAGGTAGAACTGGAAAGTTTTTACCTTAAAATGAAGTAACAAATTATTAATATTCTCCTGGGAGAAATACTATATGTATTGTTAATGAAGATATATTTTTCTCACACATCTCTATTAATATCTTCCCTCCTGTGCTACGATTTCACATATTTTATCATAAAAAAATCCCCACCTATAGCATTCTCTTCTTCTTGTCTGTTAATAAATCCCTTAAAAATCATCCATTATACTTCTTCTTCTTCTTTTATTAATGGCTTATCTGCGCATTTCGCACAATTCTGCCAATGTCAAGTGAATAAATTTCTACATATAAAATGAAAATGAAATGAATGAAAGATGGCGATATTTAATATTTTTCACCCATTTCGGGGATTAAAAATCTGTCATGTTTGACAGAACTATGTATGAATGACGTTTTACTTCTTCACAATAACTGTGCAAGTGCGTTCAGATACGTCGTTTTCTTTAAAAACGGTGCATTGTGTATTAGATAGGTATTGTAAAAAACATGTTTCATTGAAGTATAATTTTATACAATTCAACTATTTTTGTAAATTCGAATTTAACTGTTCTGTGCAACTTTTCCGTAGATTACACTGCCATCATTAAAGTTATGTTGTACCAAAAAAAAACAATAGGTATAGTGCAGAAAATATACAGAGTTCTATTTATAATGATACATATCGCTAAACGCTTTGAAGGGTTTATACTTATTTTCAAAGGAAAGAAAACTAAATTCATTACCGTCATACAAAACAAGCGTTATTGTTTTTGATGTTGTCTAACTAACAAGTGTTGGGAAGTTGGTTTTCTATACTTATATATATTATTATGAGGAAATATTTGATTTTTTCTCGAAAGGCTGTGAAAGCTACATCATACGCGGGTGACATACTTAATAATTTATGTCGGAGAAGTCGCGTTTTTCTATTATTAGAATTAGTAGTAAATAAATAACTATAAAAGTATAAACCAACATTGACTAAGTACCTTCACTGGTCTGCCCTGTAAAAAGTTATACGTGGTCTAACAAGAAAAATATACGTGTCAAATTGAAAACCTCCTTGGTTTTTCGTTAATAGTTTATAATTTGTTCGTACCTATAATAGGTACCGATAACTCCTAAATAACGTCCAATTATATTTACTGCTATTCAATTATTAAGTTCGTAAAAGGGTGGAACACGGTATGAAAGTTCGATCTGGTTTTTTCTATTACGAAACGTTTTTTGGTCTCAAGTATTTCAAGGAAAATAAAGCACTAAAAAAGCACCTCAATAGATGGTAACTATACCAAAAGTTGATTTTTGCAGAAAACGAATGGATCAAAGATAGTCATTTCCGTTCCTTTAAAGTAACATATTAAAAAAACTGCAATTTACAACATTCGAAATTTAGATATCAATACAATACAATTACGAAAAAGTACAAAAAAATTTGAAAATTAATTTACTTTAATTTACTAATTTACTAAAACAACACTGGAAGCATTGTCATAGAGAAATCAAGAAATTACTGTAGCGACATCTAGTTTGATTTCGGGCACCAATTTTATTTTTAAATAATTCCTCATTAAAAGTATATCATTCGGAATAGGAGTTGATATAGATGACGCCCGCGCCAAAAACTAACCTACTTACTTAGCCCTTTGCGAATGACTTTTCTTCGCTTCTATCAGTTATGTATGAAATACAGACGTCTATATTTTATATTTTTTATCGATAACTAACTTTCCGCCAGCGGCTTCGCCCGCGTGCTCTTGTATCATACATAAAATCTTCCTTTAGAATCACCCTATCTATGAAAAAAAACCGCATCAAAATCCGTCGCGTAGTTTTAATGATTTAACCATACATAGGGATATAGGGACAGAGAAAGCGACTTTGTTTTATACTATGTAGTGATACTGATCTGGTATTGACATGGTTTTTGTAAATGTCGTTACTTCTGTTACAGCTGATGCGCTTCTTTTACTCCACCACACACCACACCAGCCCTTTTACGTCCCCACTGCAGGGGCTCAGGCCTTCCTTATGGATGGTTAAGGAGGATGGGCCATGACCCTCCACGCTGGCCCAATGCGGATTGGAGGGTATTGACGACTGCAAATGCAGCCGGGACCAACGGCTTAACGTGCCTTCCGAAGCACGGAGTAGCTCGAGATAATAATTTTTTGGTCACCCATCCCGTGACCGACCCTTGCGAAAGTTGCTTTACGACTACGATCGCGGGCCGTGGCGCTTATCCACTACGCCACCGAGCTACTTCTTTTACTCGTTCTCCTCCAAATCAGCCAAAAAAACATCCTGTACGAGTGGGAAGTAAAAAAATTGGATGGTTTAAAAATACTTTTATTTAAATATGGATTATTTTTGACTCTGACTTCATGTGCGTGTAAAGGAGGCTGTGTTACAAGCCGCAAATATTCAGGCTTGCGTTAAATCGTAGAGATTTAATGCAGCCCGAGCAAAAATGTCAAACGAGCATTTAAAAACATTTGAATTATAGGAGCGAGTCAAAAACCTTGCTATGCCGTCAAACTCGAAACAAAATCAAATACCAACGGACAGCTTGACAACACTGTCCTTACTTAGTGAGTTTCCACTAATATGGTGGTTTCAATCCCCACTTTAATGGGGAAATATATTGATCTTAGTGGCTCGTGGTTTTCTTTAGTGGAAAAAAACATATCTTCATTAAGTTCACTCAAATATTCGACATTGTTTTTAAGTTAAATTTTCCTAACATATTTTTTTCTGAATTCGATGCGAGAGTATTTACTTTTTCTCGGAAATCGATAATGACGAGTCATATTCGGGAATATAAATTATATAAATCTAACGTATCCGCCTAATATAAATTTGTTACTCCAGCGGGTATGGAATACCAATAGTCACAATTTTTTCCAAAACCAATGTTTTTAAAATTCTAGAATTCTTAGCTTTCAGACAGCTGCGAGTCATTGTGAGTACAACTGGTCAATTACTAAAATGTAAGTTTCATCTGTAAGCTTTTTGCTTTTATACTTTTGGATAAGTATTGTATATTTACAGTTTTCACTTGTTGTTTTTTTTTTAACGTAGCATTGTATGTGACATAAAACAAATATTTTGGCAATCTTTACTCTGAACGCGTCTTATTTATTCACCTATTGATACGATCCACCGTGTTTAATGATTATAAGTTAACAGCAGTGTTAGCAACTTAGTCGTTTATCCACCAAAAAATATTAAAGAAACAAAATAAATAGTAAAATGAAACAAAATATCGCCATAACATCACTAAGATGTCGTATCCTATGGCAAGAGTCATAACTGAAGTTGGTAGTCGTAGCCCTGGGCACGGTTTCTTGAGAATGTAAACGCTCTTGGTAGTTTTCAACGTGTTTACAGAAGTTATCAACGTGTTATCAACATACAGAATATGTGCTTTTATTTATTCCATGAGAAAATAATACTTAGCTAAGTACTTTTTTTTATTTATATCAGGCTATTTGATGTATATTGATGTATATCGTGTGTATACACGTTATTAGTAATCACGTATACTGATCAATTTCACATTAACAGTTCTATCATGGAAAATATTCTTAATAAAAATTATTAACAAATCCACTTTGTCTCTGATATTCCACCCATCTCATGTGGGACAAAGTGATTTTTAAACATTTTTCATTTTAAAATATAAATACGTTATTTTTTAAATAAATGTGTTGACTCGTGAAAATTGATGACATTAACATCTACTCAAAAGAAAACACATTTAAAAAAATAATAATAATGAGAAAATGATATTTATTTAGTTGATAAAAAAATAGATCACCATCATAAGTATATTGCATCCATCACATAATCTGTGAAAATTTCATGTCATTATAGTTCAAAAACTTTCTGACAGACAGATTTGTTGGTTATTAATTAAATATTAAAGATAAAGTTAAAATGACGTGGAATATCATAAATAGTGAAATTGGAAAAAACCCGGAATACGGATTTTAATTTAAATTAAAATCCGTATTCCGGGTTTTTTTATTGTTTGGGGATGTTTAAACATTGATAATAAAAAGGTAACATCAGATCTTGAAGTTGCTACAGTATTTAAAAAATTATTTACTGAAATTCCAGTCTTAATTACACAATCTTTGAATTCCTCTTCCACTGTTTTTGAATCTATTTTTAAAATTTATCACCTCTCTTCTCCTCTTCCACTGTTTCTGAATCTATTTTAAAGGCAAGTTTAAATAATTGTAATAGCAAATTTAAGTTTCAACACATTGATTTTAAAGGTATAATAAAATCTTTTAATCAGCAACCGAAAAAAAACCGCTGTATTAAGGGGAAATTCCATTGAAGTTTCCAAATCGGTGATTGAGACAATAGCTCCAATCCTAGCTTATATATTAAATAAATGTACTGATTGTGGTATTTTTCCTGAGCTCATGAAATATAGTAAAATTATTCCTTTACATAAATTGGGTAGCACATCTGACCCTACTAACTTTAG